TTAGATCAAGATGCCTCCAAGAAAGAGACCCAGCTCGAAGAACAACGACAATCCTCCTCCGCCACCACCTTCTCCTCAATTCGATCTCGCATCACTTCAGACAATTTTGACTGCTGCAATGGTGACAGCCATGTCACAAATGAATCCCGGTGGCTCCGGAGGTGGTCCCCAACCCCAAAATCCAGAAGACAGCTAGGAACACCGAAGAGGGGGTTCCTACAAAGATTTCATGAACGCGAAGCCCACAACCTTTAATGGCACTGGAGGTGTCATTTCCCTGACTCGATGGTTCGAGAAAATCGAGTCAATCTTTGAAATATGTGCCTATTCGGAGTCTGACAAAGTAAAATTCGCCGCCTGCACTTTCCTTGACAAAGCCCTAACTTGGTGGAACGGTCGAGTCAAATCCTTAACCTTACCTGTAGCAAATGCCATGGGTTGGGAAGCTATGAAGGAGTTTCTGCTTGCAGAGTATTGCCCTCGGGGCGAAATTCAGAAATTAGAACACGAACTCTGGAACCTTAAGATGAAGGGTTCCAGCATAGCTGCTTATACTTCGAGATTCGATGACCTGGCATTACTCTGTCCGGGAATGGTTACCCCGGAGAGTAAAAAGATCGAAAGATTCATCTGGGGATTGACCCAGCCAACTAAAGGGAATGTCTTGGCTACAAAGCCAGACACATACGACAGCGCTAAATGTCTCACGAAAATCTTGATCGATCACGAAGACAACTCAGATGAGGAAAATACTACTCCTGAGTTAGATACAAGTGGAGGTGAAAGTAAAAAGAAATCTCGTAACAAGCGGAAGGCCCCGAGTACGAAAGGGTCTTCTAAGAAACAGCAAACGGTAGCAGTCCATGCTGCTACTGCCCTGTTGCTGTCTCAGCTGTGGGATCCACAGCCCAAACTCCCACCAGTGGATACACTGGTAGTCTTCCTTGGTGTGGTAAGTGCAACTACCATCACCGCATCCCTGGCCCATGTCGCGAAAGGATCTGCGACAGCTGTGGCAAGAAGGGCCATCTGTCTCGAACCTGTAGAAAACCGGCCAAGTCAACGAACCAATCATCGGGGGAAGGAATCAGTCCGGCCTGCTACAATTGTGGTGAAGCAGGGCAATTCAAAAGGAATTGCCCCAAAGCGGCTACCACACTGATCCCTCTGTCGCCGCAGGTATACCTCTCCTTGATAACTCTTATACCTGCAACTCTTTTTGATTTCTAGTGTTTAGAGGGAAACCTGTTATCTATCTATTCGAACGTTCTCTAAACTCAATCCTTCGTATGTGATCGGAATGTGTATCATCGAGACGACTAACCAATGAGATTGAGAACCCTAACTTCGTATCTATAGATGGAACCCTCGGTCCAAGAGGACTATTCTGTTCCATTCAGTTAAATGGGAAACCTTTCACGAAAATGCTTTGATGCTACGTTTAACATGGAATGACTGCGCCTCATTCATGTTGTTATCTTGGTTTCGAGAGGGTCGCCTGTCTATATCTTTTCCTCGACCTGACCCTCATGATCTTCGGCATCAAACCTTCGTATTGTTTCATGCTATAAAACTCAAAAGTTTTCCTGATATGAATTGCCACACATCCCTCGTTTCTGTGATCATTGAGAGACGGGAAGTTAGTAGCTCCTTCTACTAAATGTCTGTCCCGAAGAGTTTCCGGGAATTTCATTCAAACATCTAAGTTTAGCTTCACCTCAGACTTTTCGAAGTCTTTGTAGAGATTGATTCTACAATCTTCAGGGTTCGGATGCTCGTAGAACTTGTTAACATCTGTCCAGCACATCATGTCTCGAATCCTTAAAAGCTTCTACCCAATGAAACCCTAGTGATTCCTACTAGAACGCCCGGTAGAGACCCGATTCCACTTGAGAAAGTGAAGATCCGAAGTAACAAACTCATTCGTGTCTCATTTCAAACTCATGATCTATATCCTATTCTTTAAATTGCGGGACGAAATTCCCTCTAACAGGGGGATAATGTAACAACCCGAAATTGTTCTTCGCCAAAACCCGTGCTACCCGAAAAGTCGCCGTTATCAAATTCGTTCCGTTTTCACTTTGGGTCAAATTATTTAAACTTATATGTTTATTTTAATTTTAATGAGTGTCTAAATCACTCAGGAACTCATGTTATTAACCCAAAACATTTATTTCATAAGTTTTAGAAACATCCCCGCCGGGTGACGGTAACTAAATCAGGTGCGACCAAAAGCCGCGTTTAACATCGGTATCGGGTAGAATTCCTCAGCGTACAAGTTTTAAGACCTATATAAACGTGTTTTAGCATCCATTTGAAGCTTTTTCCTTCTCTCTCTACTCTCTCTCTAACCTCTCTCCTAAATCCAAGTTTAAGGGTCCAAAACTCAAATTTAAGGCTTCAAATCTCTAAGGTACATTCCTTAGCTTGTATTGTAACCTCTTTAGCCTTCAAATTCAAGTTCAAAACATGATTTATGACCATATTCATGAGTTTACGGCCATGGAGCATTCATTGGCCGTAAACTCGTATTAAGTGAGTTTTTGAGCCCTTAAACCCCTCCTTGACAAGTTTGGGACTTAGATATGGCTAAATGGCTTCAAGATATGGACTCTAAACAATTAAAACATGAACTTTATGAAGTTTGAAGGAGTTTATGGCCAAGGATCATTCTTGGGCCGTAAACTCATATATCTAGGGTTTTCATGCCCTTAAATCCTTCCAAACCACTCATATGTCTTAGTTATGAATTATAGAACATAGATCTTTGCATTTGGACTCATGAAACATCATTTTTGGGGGATTTACATGAGTTTACGGCCAATGCTTGTGCTTGGGCCGTAAACTCCATAAAACATGGTGCAAATCCATTTCTAGGGTGTTTGAAAGCCATCCAACATCACCAAAAGCCTTGGAATAAATCAAAGGACCAACCAAAAATAGTTTTAGGGCTTTACAAACATCAAAACCCCACATTTGAGAGTTTACAGCCATAGAACATGTCTCATGGCCGTAAACTCATAAAAGGGTGTCAAATGGTGCCCTAAACTCATTTCTAGGCTTGTGGGAATTTTTAGAATCACATGTGATTAATTTTAACACCTTAAAAACACTAAATCTTGGAGATTTGAGAGTTTACGGCCAAAGACCCCATGCCTAGGCCGTAAACTCCCTTATGTATTGTAAATGATGTTTTTAATTCAATCCAAGCCTTAAGAAAAATTAATCCAAGCATTTCCAAGTGTCCATATCCATTTATGACCCAAATATGCACCATAAACCACCCTACCATGAGTTTACAGCCGTAAACTCATGGGGAATGGGTGTTTTGGACCAAAAACTCTTGTATAAGTTTATTCATGGGGAGTAAACTCAAGTCCCTAGTCCCTCGCATCATTACATGTCCTTAAACGCCACCCGGGTCCTTCCAAACACTCGTATCAGAGTGTTTTCGTGACTTGAAGCAATTGTCCCTATCCAACAATCAATCTAAGTCCTAATTAGATACAAATGTGTATCTTTACTTCATAATTAGGAACCTCATGTGTTTACAAGTCCCGGATCAACTCTTAGCATTCAAACCGTCTCATATCTCGTCCGGTGAGTTCATACCCCTACGGCTTTTTCACTGTTTTCAATGTTTTCAGGGGGGGAATACAAGCAAACTATAATTGTTTTCAAATCATTACATCGATATGTTTCAAAGAATATCTGACAAACTTATAAATTCTTTTACTCCTTATGTATTATGTTGAGCATAAGGAATGATTTATCAATTACAACTAAATGGATTTTAGTTAAGGAAATAACCAAACTAATCAAATTATTATGGGAATAATTTAGGGTTCTTTACTATTTTGTTTTATCATGTACTGATATCTATATAAAGTTATTAGATAAACTATGACTGATTCAGTTTATCTCCGTATCATTTGAATGTATTGTCAGATAATTTCATTGTATGTATCTATATTTACTGTACTATGTTTCATAATCTTCTGTATATCGATATCTTATGAGAAACCTGTGAATAGCTTAGTACTAGTTTGTGAGATAGTCACTACCCTTTATGGATGATGAATAAATCCTCCCCGGAAGTGTAACCAGAGTCTCCTGGAGGGAGAGCGCGGAATTTGTGAATAGATCTATTCGGGACTGACAATCCCACACTTTAATTGCTAGCTACAGTTAGGCGGGCACGCCTGGGGTGACAAATTTTTGGATATCGTTTCGACGTCTGACAAACGTTAAGGAGGTCACAGTGTCGTATTAGTATGGTTACCCAACTCACAACATGTATTAATATTATTTCATTCACAGTTTGGGTTTTGTATCTATATCTTATACGGGATAGTGATCCCATGGTTTTGCATCTATATCTTATACGGGATAGTGATCCCATGGTTTTGATACACAACCATGGGATTTGATACATTGGATTTGATACACAACGTGGTAGTCCACCCCGAAAATGTTTCCACCTTTGATTTTCGGGGTGTGACAAAAGTAGTTATGATCATGTTCTTTTGTTATTTAAGTTTATATTTGCTAACCTTATTTCACCTTTGTATGTTGCTTATTAGATCATATTTAAAAGTTACCGAGTGTGAATTATATGCAATTGTTATCCTTTGTATAGTTTCATTTACGTTTTTGGTTTTTGTTTACTGGATCAGATGTATAAGATACGAGTTGTTTATTATATGCAATTGTTAACCTTGGCTTGCTTTCATTTGCATAGATTGGTTATTAAGTCTTATGTATAAACTTTTGACTAATCATCATATGAAATAGTTATCTTTAACTCATAGGTAAACTGCTATGAATTCTTATTGGACTCTCCTAAAAAGGTTACTAATAGATTGAAAGATGCAGGTAGAGTAGAAGGTTATGGGAAAGTTATCTTCTTAATAAAGTTGACGCCATCGCGTGTCCCTCATAATCGATAAATGCTTCATCGATTTTGCATTTACTGATGCTTCGTTGCCTAAATCTAACTAATGAGAAGAGAAATCGCACAGGGTCACCAATGTTCTGCCTTTTTGGACTTTGCCTGGCCAAGGAAACCAACAACCCACTACTTGTGGCTTTGGATGAAGCCGTGGTTTTTAAAATCATACATAACTTTCTTTGTTCAGGTTAGTTTTAAGGAAACCAACAACCCATAACTTGTGGCTTTGGATGAAGCCGTGATTTCTAAAAGCACACTTAACTTGCTTTGTTTAGGTTCGTTTGCTCTCTATGTAACCCTAATTAGCAACCCTAAGGCGATTACAATGAGCAACTGTCTGGGAATCAGAAAATGAAATTGAATACTCTCTCATATGCTCTTTTAAACCATTTGATTTCATGTAATTTGGGTTTATATTGACTGTTAAGATGATACATGCTTGACAGGGCCTGGCTCTTGAGGGATTATGGGAGTTGCCGAAGAATACTAGGCTTAATGAAGGTATCACTGGTGGACTTGATGAGGAGAATAATAACACCGCAGATGATTACATTGACTTTGAAGATGAACACATCGACAAAATATCAGTATAATTTTGCTTCCATTTGGGTTTGCTTTTGACTTCCATCTTCCCCTATCCTACAATTTCTTTTGGTCTTTCATTTGGGTTTCCACCTTCGACTATAAAGTTCTTCAAAAATTGTAGTGAAAGTTTTGTGTTCTCCTTTCACTTTTACCCTTCAAACGATTTTTATGGACGTACATGACTACCTCTGTTTTCTTTTTCAGCCAAGTTCTATCCACCGGCTTTTCCACCAATAGGCAAGGTGTCGATGATTGGGTTAGCTGTGTCCGATTCAGCCTTAATACATTGCAACCAACAATTATTTCAGCTTCTTGAAATAAGAAGGTGAAGGTCTGAAACCTCACTAATTGCAGACTCAGTTGTAAGAGTACAATGACCCTGTTACTTTTATATATACTATAGATTACTGAATTCTCAAACTGTTATGTTTATTTCTATAGTAAAAAACAAGAGAATTTGCTAGCGACTAGGGTGGAGTTTGGATTGATTACCACCATACTTTTAAAAAGGTAATATTGTAATATTTATGATATGTAGAGGACCATTCAATAATTTTACTTTTTCTTCCCATTTTTTAGACCTGCCAATCCAATACATAGCCTCATTTCTACTTTAAATTGTGACTCTTCTGCACTCTTAATTTGTGAAAGAAAACCAGATATTAACAAACAACTTTTTTGTCCCATTTTTACATCTAAATCAATCAATGTAATGCTCATATCTAACTTGATGCTAAACTACAACAATGATTCTTTTTACCTGTAACATAATATAAACCTAAAAAATACTCATTTATCTAATCCTAATACTATGTTTTCTTTTTTAATATTTTTTTTCTTTTGTCATGATTTCCTTTTTAAAAATTTTGATACGAATTATAGATACAGTAATAATTATGTTTTTCTTTTTATTTACATTAGGTCACATCACTTTATGAAAACACTCTTCATAATATGAATCTTAATTTGGTGTTTTGGCATTGTGAAATTTTGTATTTACAGAAATGACCGGCTGTTGAAAAGCTTCATTTTCATGTGAAAACAACGCTAATGTGATTCTGGGATGGATGATTATATTTAATTCAGGACAAAGAGATAGAGCATAGAACAAAACTTATCATAGTTTCAATTGTTTTGTAATTTATTCTTCAAAAATTGTTTAAATGACCATTAAAATGGCTGTTTTCCTATTTTTGTAATATTTACTTTTTATTGCAATCGAGTTTTGCATATTAATGCATTATGTTGACCCATTGAAACAAGAAAAAAAACCTTCTTGACCCATACAAAGCATGGGTCCTTCCCTAGTTTATTTTAAAATACATATTTAAATCAATATACAATATTAATTTATTTCAAGAAAAAATTTGTTAGTATTTTTTTGTTATTATTATACCAATTTTATTTCAGGTTTATCCCTTAATTAAGAGCATGACTTTTTTTTTGAGATTGAACAAATTTTACTTCGTAACTATTCAAGTCTCAAAAAATTTACAAGGATGCCTTTTCCTGACGCTAATTCTATATCCTCTTCAAATAATCGTCTTATCAATGAGGAGCTAGATTATGACATACCAAATTTAAAGAATGAGTTTGATCGGCTTTCTATGAAATTAACATTTGAGCAAAATAACATTTTTGATGATATCATGTGTTAGGGTTTAAATGTTGTAATATGTCGAAGTGTTAGTTGTTACGAAGGGTCTTTAGTCTTTATATGAAGATTCTTCAGAAGTAATATTATTTTTATTAAGGCATTATAATGAAGTCTTAATGTCTAGTCCTTAGTATTTTTGTTATGTTTTTGTACTCCTATAAATAGGGGTTTGTACTAAGTGAGTAGGAAATTTTCACTAAGACTTTACATAATATTCTTTATACTCTGTAAAATCACGAGCATAATATGAGCTGAACCAAGATTATATTTACTCTCGTGTTCATCGTTTTTCTTCTTTCTGAATTCTTACATGAATTGATCTTTAAACTCGATTACAAATCTCATCATCATGACTGCAATAACCAATAATAAAAGAGGTGTTTTCTTTGTCTACGGTTATAGTGGAACAGGTAAAACCTATCTTTGGAAGACATTATCTAGTGCAGTTAGATGTAATGCTCAAATTGTTTTAAATATTGTTTCAAGTGGGATTGCTTCTTTAGTATTAACTGGTGGTAGGAAAACACATTCACGGTTTAAAATTCATTTGGTTCTTACTGAGGTTTCTATTTGTTCCATATCACCAAATAGTGAACTCGTTTGTTTATTACAAAAAAAATAAAAATAAAAACAATAAAAAACTCATTAATCATTTGGGATGAAGCACCCATGATTCACAAGCATGCATGTGAAGCTTTAGATCGAACTTTGAAAGATATATTCAAGTGTCATAATCCTAGAAACTCAACTATGCCATTTCGAGGGAAAGTAATTGTTTTTGGAGGAGATTTTAGACAAATTTTGCCTGTTATCCCAAGTGGAAGTAGACAAGACATTGTCAATGCTTCATTAAGTTCATCATATTTATGGTAACAATGCAAAGGCTATCAACTAACCAAGAATATGAGGTTAACTATCGGAAGTGATACATCTACTTTTCAACAGACAATGGATATTGCAAAATGGCTTTTGGATATAAGAAAAGGGAAACTTGGTGGTTCTAGCGATGGCGAAACGATTATTGATATTCCATAGGATCTTCTAATTAAAGATCCTTATGATCCTATAGGTTAATTAATCGACTTTGTATATCCTTCAATTCTTGAAGCTTCCAGCATTCCAAAATATTTTTTTTTAAGAAAGAGCAATACTTGCTCCCAAAAATGAAGTTGTCGGAAAAATAAATGATCATTTGCTAGCATTATTTCCAGGAGATGAAGTCGAATATCTAAGTTCAGATAAACTATGTGAATCTGAATTTGACCATCATCATTTTAATGCCAATTTATACTCACCTGAAGTTTTAAATGGTCTTAAAGTCTTAGGTCTGTCTAATCATAAGTTAGTTTTGAAAGTCGGGGTTCCATTTATGTTACTGAGGAACATTGATAAATATACATACATACATACATACATACATACAAAGATATATATATATATATATATATATATATATATATATATATATATATATATATATATATATATATATATATATATATATATATATATATATATATATATATATATATATATTCTTATGTAATGGTACTAGATTACATGTGATATCTTTGGGCAAACGTGTTATTAAGGCATTTATCATAACTGGAAGTAATAGGAAATCGAACCTTTATTCCAAGAATGACCTTAACACTATCTAAAAAAAAATCTCATTCAAATTTCAAAGAAGACAATTTCCACTAGTTGTTTGTTTTGCAATGACAATTAACAAGATCCAAGGACAGTCCTTATCTAAGGTTCGTTTGTTTTTAAAAGATACGTTTTTTACACATGGTCAATTATATGTTGCCCTATATAGAGTTCAAAGTAGAGAATGATTAAAATTGTTAATTTTAGATAAGGATGATAGACTTACAAATAAAATTTCTAATGCCGTTTAGGAAGAAGTTTTTAGAAATTTGTAAGTTGTTTGTAAAATATTATTCCGCATAACATGTTTTCTTATTATTATTAATAAGACTTTGTTAATTTTTCTTTTATAATTTCTAATTTTTTTTATAATATACGTTTACTTTTACAACTTAATTTTTTGATTTATTTACCAATTTTAATTTACTTCACTTATTGGTGTTGTTTTACTTTTACAATAAATTTAATATTTCATTATATTTTATTGTAACTTTTTTTTTTTTAATTTTATTCACAAATAAAAATTATATAATATATGCTGAAAATTAATTTCACATACTTATTTGAATCAATGATTTAAATTTTACATAACTATATAAAATAGCTATTCATTAATAACTTAATTATATTATTTAATTAATAATGATAATATTTTAGTGTGAAAGTGTAATTAATTTCGCAACCGTAGTTTCCACGGGTTATAAACTAATAAAGCATTAAAGAAAACACGATGTACACCTCATCAATCTATTCAAGCTGCATATTTGTATTAAAATTTATTCGAACCAAACTGTATTTTGGTATTTAATATGTTATAACTAAAACAAAAACAAAACAAAAAAAAAGGTTGCCAAACTCAAACTTACATCCCCACGAATACATACACATACGTCTTAACCACTTATTAAAGCCAATGTTTTAGTAAATTTGCTATTATATATATAGTTTAATTTTGAAGCTCCTTAGTGAACAATACTTTGTTGCGATTCGCAGGCTTTTTTTTTTTTTTTTTTTTTTTTTTTTTTTTTTTTTTACCTATTTTTAGTTTTTTATTGTGCTTGCTGAATATATATATATATATATATATATATATATATATATATATATATATATATATATATTTGTTTTTTCTATTTTGTTTTGTAGTTTTCCTTTGATTTTTCTTCCTTTTTCCGTTAGTGGTTTCCAGATGTTTTCTCCTCAGAAAACTCACTGCCCACCCATAGTCACTGCATATTCATATCCAGTCTTTCGATGCTTCCCACCACCTCTCCAAACCCCTCCATCTCTCTCTAAACTCATCGGCTTCAGAGATTAACATCCCAAAATTGATCTCCACTACCTCACCGTTCTTGCATTTCTCCACTGGCTTCCTTCACCTTCCAGAGAAACCACTATAGACTACAACCCTGATCAAATCAACTGACGACCGCCACCTAGTTGGTAATTTTTGTTTAATCATGTCTCTCTCTAGACCTTTAAAGCACCATCCCTGTCAAAATGCTAATCGCAACGTCTACCGTATCTTCCTGTATCTTTGTCTCTCTAACCCTAAATTTGGACATCGTCCACCACTTATCCCACCTTTACCAGTTCTATTTTGTTATGGTTGTCTTTCCCATCTAATTAATTGATCCCATCAATGATTTCGAGTTTCAGTCTCCACCCACTGTTTGTTTATTTGTGTTTGTGTTGGTTATG